AAATTCTGTATTTGGTAATCAAAATCCTTGCTTGCAGATCTATTTTTGACACAATTTAAACAGAGCAAGCTTGTGTTGAATCATCACAGTTTTATTTTCTAAGAGAAGGAAATTTCCAACATCTTTCTCACTTGAAAAGCAAATCCACAACAACACAATTTTAGGGATTACCTAGTGGAAAAATATTTGCTTTCATATACAGGAGCTCTGCTAATATTAGTACTTTGCAGTGTGCACTGCAAAACTAAAACCTCTCCAAATGCCAACGTTTCCTGCTCTGCTAGGAACACGAGGGACGGTGTCCCTGTTCATATCCCTCATTTTCATTCCTTCCCCCTGATGTTCTGCCCTGCGTTTCCTGACCTTTCCCTTATCTCAGTTCCACCAAGTGTCCAGGACTCCAGACCTTTGGATGGATGCAGACCTTGGCTACAAGGACCCCTTCTCATCCCGATTACAATATCCATCTCCCAGGGCTTATTCCAGCCAAGGCCAGGATCCATTAATGCTTCCTGGCAGTGGAAAATGATTCCTGACAACTTAATTGCCAGGCTCTGTAAAAGCTGTCATGGTCAAGCAAACTCCTGCCAATGTCCACAGAGATGACACCTGAACCCTATCGGAAAGGAGATATTATTTGCAAACCAAATCTGCAGTTAAAGTGGATTGACTCAGCATGTTCTGTCAAGAGCAAAGTAATTCTCTTCCAACCAAGCTATTAAATTTGGGAAGTAGTTTGCAATAGGAGACAGAGTAAAGGGACAGAAGAGCAAACATCTGTCGAGGATCTAGAGAAGGGATTTGGATTTAGAAAACACTGCAGCTACAGCACGTGCCTGACGTCCCCTGTGTCAGCTGAGGCACACAGAGCTCAGCTCTGGGCTCCTGCCTTGTGCACAAGGAAGATCCATGCTGTGACCCTACCAGTGAGCAGCCAGCTTCACAGAGAGTGATCCAGCAAAGCTTTTTCCACCAGGAATTAGGAACCTTTCCCTTAGGACAGAGCCTTTCAGGAGCAGAGAGGCAGGTGCAGAGCATTCCACCCACGCTGGACAGGGAGACCTTTGGTTGCATTTACACCCTTCTCCTTGTGCAACTCCCACTTGCAGCGATGCTGTGTTGACATCTACCTGTTTATTTTCCTTTGCTGCAAATCCCACCTGGCTGAGCAGCCCAGGACAGAAGCACTCCACCCCTTTCTTCTGCTGCCTCTCCAGGTTACCTCTGGTCCCAGCTGTGACTCATCTGTTTCCATCTCTGCAGAATCTCACTGACACAGGCCAAGAAAGGAAGCAACCCCTTTGAGGCAAGAAGGCAACAAAGCCAACTCATCTTTTCTTCACAAATATGTGCAGAAATTCTCCATGCTTCCCACCCTCAAACCACGGGGGTGGTTGTTACTACACCCGGCACTAAGTGTTTCTTTTGAGACCTTCTACATCAAGGGTCTGTATTCTTAATTTTCAAGCAGTTGCATCTTGTTTTTAGTGAACAACTTACATGGAGTTACTCACCCTTCATGCAGAGGAAAGCACTGGAAGTTTTTGTGTTGCAGTGGGCAGAAGGAGAGATTTTGCAGCAGAATAGAGCAGGAAGATCCCAAGGAAATTGTCTGAAGAGCTCCCTGTAGTAGGGAGAGCCTTGCAGGGAAAGACAGATGTTCTAACAGCTGCCAAACAGAAGCCCTAGAGAGAGGAAAGAGAGAGGCCCATTCATGAGTCCCCAAGGCAAAAGCAGATGGTCCATGGAGCAGAAATTATGATAATCAAGACAAATAACACTGAAATCCCCAGGTACCCATAGCAGAAGTTGTGCGGTGGGACTGAGCATCACAGGGATGTAGGGAGAGCCAGAAAAGAGAGCTCTGCAGCAGAGCCAGAGGGGCTTCCCTGCACAAACAGCATCAAGTTCTCCATGTCACAGTCCACCAAGTTCTTAAAGGAACAAATGCCCCTAAACTGCAGGATTTCCAGCACTGTCTGCTGTGGCAGCCTGAAAAAGGTACCCTGGGCAGAGCACACCATAGAGCCATGCCAGGGCTCTCCCTCAGTGTGGCTGGGGAGCTGCTGGGCAGAGCTCCCTGGCTCCAAATGGACAGAGGACTGAAAAATACCACAGGGAGTTCAAGGTCTACTGAGGCATCTGCCAGAGTCAACAGTCCTCACTCTCCACCAAGAGCAGCACTTGTGTGCCCTGAAAAGTTGCATAAGCTCCTGACACCTTCTATGAAAAAAGAAGGAAAAAATACTAAGGCACTTAAGGTTCCTGCAGAGGGCATTTTAGCTCAAAATCCAGTGGCAGTGAGAGGCTGGAGACCAAAGTCAGTTCATAATGCCAGTTCTGCAAAACCTCAGGAACTGCTGTGAACCACATGGGGTCTGTGGTTATTGGCAAGCAACACCCTTAATAAAGTGTAATTTACAGCAAACCCAAGAGTCCCCAGAGCTCTGGTACCTTTCCAGTTTCATAGAGGACTGGCTTGGCCTCGTTACCATTTTAAAGGGGAACACAAAGGGCAACCAGGAGCAAACAGAAAAGAAAAAGTGGTAAATCTCCAGCACCTCATGAGCCTTCACCTCCTCCCGCCCAGGAGCAGCGACGTGTGGCATCCTTCTGGAGCTCTGCTGTGCCACCAGGGACACTCCTCACCAGGCAGCCCTTGGAACAACCTGCACAAGGGGGTTGAAAGCAAGAGCAGAGCGAGCAGGCAGGCTGCTGGGAGCAGGACAGAGCCAGCCCTGCTGCTCACAGCAGCCCAGCCAGCTTGAGCAAGTCCCTGTCCTGTGCCTCCTCAGCAGATGGGCTCAGAATCTGATTAACGATCCCTTATCACCAGCTGTGATTTTTGTGGATGGTAATTTCTTCTGGCAGCAGGAGAAATTTAGAAGGTGCTCAAATACTGACAGAAGAGGCTATTGGGGCAGTCTTCATCAGCTTATTGCTTTTCAAGCACAGTTAATGAAGGTTTTAGGGGTCATTATTTGAAAACTTAAATACCTGAAATCACTACAAATCATAGTAGCTTTCAAGTGCACTGATTTTCATTTGCAAGAATTTATTTTAAGCCACAAATTGTGCACTGCTTTTATGAAATCATGTAGATGTCCTTGCACATGGTGTTAGCTGGAATCAGTGAGCAGACATCATCAGAGAACACTTTTACTGTCTGATATTCATTACTCTCAGGCTGCATAAATAACATTCAAGAATGTACTTGTTTCATCTCTGCTCAAAGACAAAATCTGCATCTCCCAAAACAACTAACCAGCCCCAAAGTGGTGACTCTCACCCTACATGACTCTACTTGGTATAGGGATTTTCCATGTACAAACAGGCAATCATAATTTGTTTCTAAATCATAGTGTTTGCTCACATTAAAAATAAGCATATAACCTATTAACAACCACTCATGGCAAAGGCTGCTGATAATTAAATCAATTTTTATTATTATCAGCTGCAATAAAACATGATGCATGCGTAAGCATTTTGAGAGTTTATAATCAATTTTCATTAACTGCAGTAGAAACAGAGGATGTGATAACTTAATTGGAAGAATTCTACGTCTTTGGTGGGAGTGAAATTAATTGATATTAGGTAAAATCCTGTCAGAATCTGAAAGTCACTTCAACCTTATCTGCAAGAGAAAAGTGTTTACAGATCAGGTCACAGCTAAAGTGGACTCAAACACTGCAAATGTTCATTCAAGGTCTTCTGGAAATGTCCTGCAATAAAGTTTATACAAATAAAGGACCTATTTGCTTTAAGAAACAGCTATAGAAGAGAGTACAGAAAGTACGTGCAAACCACCAGCAGATTTCTATTAACTCACCATCAGTGTCTCCTGTTCGGCAAACTCCAGCCCAGATCAACTGACTCCAAAAAAAATACCCAGAAACCCTTGGCTCAGAGGCCTGGCTTCATCTGAACACAGTTTCAGAATATAAATTAATTAGGATAATCAGTTACATCTCAGAACAACACCACTTCTCCTTAAAAAGCTTAAGCCATTCCATACCATGGAATTTCTCACTTCTCCATGTGCCCCAGCACCAGAGCCCCAAAGGAAGGATCCTCCTCACCTTGCAGGAGATGGTTCCTGAGACAGGCACTGACTTGAGCCTGCAGGGAACTTCAGGCCAAGGCAAAGGGTGACCCAGCAGCAGATGGTCCATGCGCCACCACAACTGCTGAGCTTCCTGCACTGCCTTGAGGGTGCCATCAGTGCTTCTGCCCTCTCACAGCAAGAAATACTGGCCAAATTCACCTCCAGATCCCAGAGACCTTTCTGGGCTCAGCACATCTCCTAACACGACCACTCGACATGTATCTTCTTAGGTCTGGATTTCCCAGCACCTCACATGAAAAGCCTGGAAGAGGACACTTAGTGCATCATCTAAACTGCCAGCCCAAGACAGGGGGGAGCTTTAAAACCAGTTTTCCTCTGTAGGCTTCCAAATGTAAACCAAACAATCTCAAACAACCCTCTGAGGTAGGTAAGTATTGTTTAATGTTCGTTTTACAGGCAGGAGAAAAGGGCTGATAGGGCAGTGAAGTGATTGACCCAAGTCCCCATAAAGAGCCAGAGAGAACCGACCCCTGATCCCTCCACACAAAACCCCAGACCACACTCTTCCTCCTTGGGTCCAACATCTTCACCAGATATTTACAGCAGCTGCTGCACCTCAGGGTGCTCATTGCCTAAGGAGCACATGGGGCAAAGCCAGAGCAGGGAGTGATGTGTCCCCCCCTGAGGCTGAGTGAAGAACAGTGACATGAAGCTGAGGAGTTATGTTTATTGGAGAAGCACGTTTAGACACAGCGAGGCGGCAGGGACGGCAGCACGCGCACGGGGCACACCTGGGAGGCACCACTGAGTCCCCACAGCCTCCTGCCCTCCACCTGAGTAAGGACAGGCCCCGTGTGCTGCAGAAGGGGATGGAGGCAGCTCAGGCCCCCTGTGCTGCAGAAGGGGATGGAGGCAGCTCTGGCAGTCCTGGGGGCTCAGCAGCTCCCCTGATGCTCGACATCGATGCTTCCTTTACTTTCTCTGCAAAGACAGAGGGCAGACAGTTTATTGCTGTAATCCCAGAAAGGACCACGAGGAAACCTTAAAGCTGTGATGTTCTCATGCTCTGCAGGGGCTCTGGGCCATTTCTGCCTCTCTGCGATGGGGGACCACTCTGCCAGCATCCTCCCTGCTCTGCAGGAACAGCTTGGCTGAAAAAACAGCCAGGGGAAAGGAGTGGCCAGAGCCCAAGGCCCCACAGGCTCAACCCCACCATCATAAGGCTGCAGCGAGAGAAAAAAATCTGCAGAACCCTCTGTCCTGGCCCTGCAGCTTGTGTGGACAAGGTGGGACACAACCTCCAAAGGACAGGCTGGCCAAGCAGGGCTAAGTCACTGCCCATCTCTGTGCCTACCTTTGGTCACAGCTGATCCCTGGTGTTTGCTGGCAGTCTGAACTCCATTACTCCTGGAAAGGAAGAGCAGAAAAAATGAGCCCATCCCCAAGCTTGACCACATCTGTGTGACGCTGGTATCAGTGTGACAGCCCCTCAGGCCAGCTCAGTGCCACACAAGACAACTGCAGCAGAGCCTGGCACAAGGACAGGCAGGCTGGGCCACTGCCAGCTGAGGAAAACAAGACTGATTTCAGCCTCAAGCTAGGTGCTTTCCACACCTATTTTCTAATCTGGGAAAGGTCCTGCTTTTTTTCTTTCCCTCCTTTCACTACCTTTAAAAGTAGTGTGGAAAAACAGTGCATTGTAAGGAAACTGGGACTTGCCCATTGCAAACGTGGGAGTTATCTGTTTGTTGAGAAACAGGTATAAAAAAGAAAGGGAGAAACCCTGGATAACCCCTTTTTTCCCTGATCTATTGAACAGCGTGGGCAGGCTGGTGACTACTGCCCAGGTGATTAGTGTGAAAAACCTTTGAACAAGTAAAGGAACTGCAGATATGCAGGATTAAAAGTCAAATGTGCAGGAAAGACCCACAATCAATTGATCCACGTGACATGGCCCTGCAGGACCTACCAGGCAGTTAACTTACCAAAAAAAGATATCTTATCCCACGATGCCGACCTATATTTGTCATCAGTAAAGCAGAACGGGATCAAAGGAATTCAGTTATGGCAGAGACCTCCCAGGGAAGGTGGCCAGACCCAGTGCTGGCCAGTGAGGACAGGTTCTCTCTGCAGCAAGGTTTTCCACCCCAGCCATGCCCACATACACCCATTAGTGTCAGATCTCTCTCAAACCACACTGCTCCCAACCCTTCCCACAAGCTTCCTTCCCTGATGGCCATCAGGTCACCAGAGCCACCAGAAACACCTGGAAAATCCAGCTGGAGCTTTGAAGGCGGGGGTGGCTGCAGGCCCTGGGCTGCAAAGGGATGAGGCAGCTTTAACACACATTTTCTCAGGCAACCCAGCACTCTCCGTGGGTAATTTAAAAATACAACTCAAGGAAATACTACAATTTTTGGGTAACAATTTCTTATCTTCTTCCAAAGGATTTCACATTCTGCACATTGCAACTCTCTAAACCCATTTCTGATGCCAAAAGCACGGCTGGAGCTGCTTTCCTCCAGGTTTTAGTAGCATATATTGAGTGCCTGAATCTCCAGCAGAAAGAAAAATTCATTATACTGCAAGGGAGCATGAATTTTAGTGCTGAAAATAACATTGCTCTGTACATTGTTTATAAGCTCCCATAAATTTCCAGCCTGATTCTTCAGGTGACTTTAATAAACATAAAGAATAAATCATTGTGCAGGGGGGGCTTTAGCTTTTCTTGACTCAAGAAAAAAGCTTAGCACTTTGACTTCTAATTGCATCCATCTCTCCTTGGAATACTTAACACAGCTGCAAGCTCTCTGACTTCCAGTAAATGGCATCTCCCTCTTATTGCAAGGGCTTGAGAGCTGTAACAGCTCAGTGAGACAGTAAGGAATTCCAGACCCAGCACAGTTTTTTGGGAATCCTGTCTATTTTTCAGTTGCCATGGTGTATCCAGTCTCATTCTGACTTGGACACAGTCACTGACAGATTCTTGTAGTGCCTCATCTCCCAGTACCCACAGGCCAGCAGCAGCTCCATCTCCCTAAGGACTGAGACACAGAGGCCTCCAGGACTGTCACAGGCAAAATTATTTCTCTCTGCAATTTCTTTGACTTTAAGCAAAGTTTAGAGCACTCTGCTGCTTCAGAGAAGAGGGGGAAAGAAGCCAGATTTGCTGTGTTTGGGGGATCTGCTGGTGTCCTGGCACTGAGCAGAGGAAGGCATGGAATGACACTGTGGCAGGATGGCTCTCTCATAGCCCACATCCCACTGCACCTAAAAACACATGGACACCACATCCATACTCAGAAACCAATGCTCCCACCCAAAACTTCCCAGAAATCTCTTTGGTACGTTCAATATTTGGATTCTCTACAGGTTTAGAGTGGGAATCGATCTATATCCTGGGGATAAGGATTGAGTTTCTCAAGAGTTCATGCCAATGAGGACAGTCCTCCCCAGGTGCTACAGGACATCCCATGCACAGAATCACAAACTGGGAGACGCTGACACCACATCCCAGAGCTGGAGGCTGTCCAGCTTCCACTGGTAGAAAGACAAAGCACAGCTAAGAAATGTTTAACTCATCTGCCCTATGGGATTGCACAAGATGTCAAGGCTCAAGACCTTTCCCAAAAGTGTGCCACCTAGTGAATAATCTTAATTTCCCAACCATCTCCCTGGATATTATCTGGGGAACAAGCCCTTTATGGTTTATACCATTCTGATCTTCCTAGCTCCATCAAAGTGCCAAGAAGAAAGTCAGGTGTTTTCCCAGACACATCACACTCCTACCATGCAGCCTCAGCAAAACATGGAGACTATGCCCAGGTTATGCATTAAATCCGAGCCTCAACCTGTATTTAAACATCTGGACCATGAGAATCCATTCCTGGGGCTCTTATGGTCCTGTCACAGGTGCAGAAGCCAGGCTGGCTCCCCAGGAGGCACTTAGAGTAAAGTGGGATGCTACACACAGCCAAGAGGCACTTTCTTTTCTTCACCTCTTGACATCATTCCACTCCAGGAACAAAATGAAACAGAAATAGGAGCCTCAATACCTCTCTTCCGTCCCAGCCAATATGGCTGAAGAGCAGCTGGAGAGCATGCCTTTATCCCACTGTGACCTGAGGGAACAGGCTAACTCTGTTAACCTGCCAGCGAGGTCCCAGTGTGGACACCCAGCTCCTGCTGAAGGGCACAGTGGGCAGCTGGCGAGTGCCAGCCACTCCTCATTCCTCACTGCCCATTGTGGCTGCCTGGATCAGGTCACCACAGGCTGACATGGTGCCAATGGGGAATTTCCACCAGGGGAAAGGCAGAGATTGATGTTTGGCAGCCCAGCTGTGGTTTGCTGCTTACCACTGCATTGCCAGGCTCTTGGCACTCGCCTCGATAGTTTACCGTGATGAAGTTTGAAGCTCTCCTGCAAAGGGAGGACAAGACATTGCTTATTATTCACTTGCAATGCCACAGCTCAGCTGCTGGCATGACAGTCCTCTGTGGGCTCCTTAATGCTTTGATGCTACTTCCAATGTGATGGCATTTATTACTCCCCAAACAATTTCATGATTGGGCAGAGAGGGAATAGGGGACCCCAGCAACTTGTGTATCTTAATTAGCTGTCATCAGATTAATCTCAGGCATTTTGATCTATGTTTGCTTAACAGCAAAGCACCAAGGACACACTTGATAGTGAGTCATGATGTATCAAAACAAACACTGTTCTGCAAAAGACACTCGGGAATGGTGGATGGCCCTGTATTACTGAAATCTCTCCGCCTACTCACATGGCAGCTGAACACAAGTCACATTCATTTTTGTATGTTTTCCCATCAGTGCCACAGACTGGTTGTGAGGATTCGCTGCAGAAAATCCTTCCACCCTTTACCCCATGCAGAATTCGCTCACAGTCCAGCTGAAGAGAGAAAGAAATCACATTTGGTGACAGTTCACTTGCAAGACCCTCCTTTACATGGCCTGAAGGTGCTCACAAATCAAGCCTTGCCAGGCCACACTTGAAAAGACATCATGTCTCTTGTTGGACGAGCCAGCCAAGCTTGGAGGACAGAGCCCTCACTCCCCGCTCACCAACCCATCCCAACACTACAGTCCGGGACAAGGTTTATTTCTCTCAAAGTGCATCCATCTCCTACCTGCACTAGCCTTCCTTATCGGTATGCTGACACCGTTTATCTCCAGGGACTGAGCCGCAGGCATCGGCCGGA